AGGGCGGCGAGCCCACCACGGCTCCGCTCTCCCCGGCGTCCGGAGTGCCGGGAGGAGGGCAGAGAACCCGGCCAGGGCTCCGCTCATTCCGGCGGCCAGAACGCCGGGGAGGGCAGCGAGCCCGCTGTGGCTCCGCTCTCCCCGGTGGCCGGAGCGCCGCGGGGAGGGCAGTGAGCCTAGTCGTGGCCCCGCTCTCGGGCCGGAGCACCGCGCCGCCCCCCTCCAGGTGCCGCCCCAAGCACATGCTTGGTGGGCTGGTGCCTGGAGCCGGCCCTGCCTACCCCTGTTCTAGCCCATCCCTGTCCTCCAGATCTTGCCTTCACGCCCCTGCCTGTTGCTTCCCCACTGCCCCCTCCCAGGCCCTGCACCACAGACCCCGCCCCCTCCTCTGGGATTTACAGCCGCGCCCCTGAGCCACTGCGGGCTCCTTGTGCCATTGCAGCCGGGAGCTGACGTCAGAATGGAGGGGAGCGGCCCCTTCCAATCAGCGCCCAACCTAGCCTCTAAGCCGGGCTGCCATTGGCGAAAGGAGCTCGGGGGCGTGGCCCACGGCAGGGGGCGTGGCTCTCTAAGACGTGAGTGAACTTTCTTTCCCCCTCCCCGCCCGCTCGCGCCTCACTTGTTTGCGCCAATGGAGCTGAGCTGCGGCCGGCCCGCGGCAGCGCTGCCCGGGATGGAGGCCGAGAGCCCGGGCGAGGACTACGAGAGCCTGCCCACCGGCGCCTCCCTCTCCACGCACATGACGGCCGGGGCGGTGGCCGGCATCCTGGAGCACACGGTCATGTACCCTGTGGACTCGGTCAAGGTGCGCGGCGCTGCAGGGCGCGGGCTGGGGGTACCCCGCGCTGGCCTGGGGCCACTTGCTGCTCTTCCCTGGTGCATGGGGGCATTTGCCGCTCCCCCGTCCTCATGGTGTGTCGCTTCCTTCGGCGTTATTGCAAACGTGGTGTGCGTGTGTCCGTACAAACGTGCTTCTTTGCCCGTGTATTAGTGCAAGCATTGGGGTGAGTGTGTTCCCGTCTTTCGTGTGTGTGTGCGTGGGGGGGGGGGAGGGAGGATTGCAGTTTCGTCTGTCTCGGTGTGAGTGCTCCCTTTCCCTGTCGGTTGTTACATCTATGGGGGAGTGAGTGTGCTTTCAACTTTCCAGTTGAAAATGCGCGGGGCTGCTGCCCTCCACCCCCGATCTCCCCTCTGCATGATGCTTCCTCTTGTTATGTGCCCTTGCCTAAGGGGGGTTGCCCCCCCAGCCCCTTCTGTGTTGTAAATAGGTGGGCATCTGTTGTGTCTCCCTCTTTGTTATTGTGGGGTAAGGTAGAAGTTTCTCAGCCTCTCCCACCCCGCTTCCTTTCTGTCCTATTGCAAAACTGGGGCGCATGGGGCATCATGGCCCCTCGTGGTTCTGTGCCATAGAATACGAAGTGGGCATGGGGCGTGACTGCAGCGTCTAGTAGTAAACTCAAGAAAGCTGTCAGCCTGCCTGGGAAGGGCTGTGTATCTTGGACTAATGAATGTGCTGCTCTGAACATGTGTGAGAGCTTCAGAAAAGAGCATGCAAGGCAGGGAGGGTTGCAGCTCCTGCACTGTGATCTGCAGCTGCAGCCTGAACTGCTGTGCAAAGGGCTGTTGATCCTGCAACTGCATTTTACTCTTCTCTTACTGACTTTGGAGGGGCCCAAATAATGGGGAGGATGTCACAGTGCTGTGTCTGAGGAGCAGGTGAGTGCAGCTTGGCTCACTGGAGCGGTAAATGTCCATATTGTGTCATGCTCCTGCTTCACTTGCATCAGGGAAGAGGTGGTTTGCCTTTAAGTGTCACATTAATAACTTGGGTTGTGTAACCAACAGTGAACCTGTCTGTGGAACCTGTTGGATTCCTTTTCAAGGGCGTTTTAACATGTTCTGCCTGCAGAGAAATCTTGTAAAGAAGGTGGTAGTACCAGCTGATGATATCGGTTTAGGAGTTCCGAGGAGTCTGTTTCTCTAGGATGCTTGACATATGAGCCCAGGTTAGAGTGATCCAGGTGAGGGTCAAAAGTGGTGGGTCAACAGAAAGGAGCCAGAGCAGAATCCTTGTTTAAATGATGGGTACACTACCTGCAGCCGGTGGAGCATTAAATACAGCCTAGCAGCAACCCTCTTTGCCCAGCATGAGGGCAGAGTTTGATTAACTGATCTCAGTGGCCAAGTGCCATCTCGTCCCCTGTGGAAGAAGGTAAAACTATTAGCTAACACTGCGGTTGTATGCATTTAGTTCTGACTTGTACAAGCCTAGTATACATGTACATGTATGTGCCCGTCCAGGCTGGCTGCTGACTTCTGACAAGCTGCTAATAATACAGCAGTATTGCTAGGAAATAGACCCCTGTTTGTGCTCCGGTCTACTCCAGTGGAAGTTGTCATGTATGTTAGGACACTGAGGTTATTATTAACACCTCTATAAGAATGGAAGATTTGAAAGGTGTCTGAGGTTATATGGATCTCGGAGTAATTATTTTGACTTCCAAAACTTGTTCTTGACTTCTATTTAATTATATATCCATTCTCAAATAGACTGTAGCTTAAAATCAGCCCAAAAAAAAAAGGCTATAAAGACTGCAAACAGTGTGATTTGTAAATGACAAAGACCTTTTAAGAGGTGCGTCAACACTTTGACACAGTGGATTTAGTGAGCAGGCAGGCTTAAGAATAGGAACAAAACAGGGGTAATGAAAGCTGGCAGAATTCTCCTGGCCCCAGATTTCATTGCAAATCCCAGTTCGCTGAAAGTTTGCAAAGCTGGTCCAGTGTATAGCTTTTGAGTGGAAAAAAATGTGAAATTGATTAGCTTCATATGGTGTTTGTCTGTCTGAAACCAGACAGAACTCTGCAGTGACCTAGAACTCTGCAGTGAAATTAGTGGGTTGCAAATGGACACGTGAGTCTAACACAGCTCTGTGCATGACATCAGCCAATTCCAGTGCAAAAGAGAAAAACTTAATTGGGACGCTCAACTTGCTTACAACAGAGGCCTGGGACTAACTGTCTGTCCTGAGAGAGAGGATGGCCTTGTGGTTAACTGGGCATTAGGATCCCTGGGTTCTATTTCTGGCTGTGCTGCAGGCATCTTCTGTGGCCTGGTGTAAGTGTCTTAAGGTAGGTCTACACGGCAAACAAAGCAAAAAACAGCCCACGGCAGCGGGTCTGAGAGCTTAGGTCAACTGACTTGGGTTTGCACTGTGGGGCAAAACATAGTAGTGTAGACGTTCCCTTCTCCCCCCCGCTCCCTCCCCCAGGCTGAGACCTGGCTCCAGGCTGAAGGCGAACATCTATACTGCTAATTTTGCCCCGTAGCATGAGTCCGAGTTAGTTGACCTGGGCTCAGAGTCTTGCTGCTGTGTCTCTCTCTTGTTTTGTTTTCTGTTTTGCGGTCTGTTTTCCCCATTAGTCACATGGGGATAATATCTACTTCGCATATGGCATGAGGCAAAATTGTTAATATTGTAAATCTGTGAGGTCAATGCACAGAAGTAGCACTTATTGATCAGGGGTAAGAATATATTGTACAGAGTTGCTAGTCTTGACATCTAGTATGTCTTATGCCCCAGTATTCCTAAGTACATAGTTTGACAAACACCCCTATAATAGTAGGACATGTCACTGTTAAGAGGTGGATTGTTTCAAAATAGTCCACTAAGCTTTCTTTCCTTTGTCAAACAAATGATCCCTGCCTTAGTCACTGTAGCTATCTAGAAGCACGTTGTCCTAATCCTAAATTAGAGATGGCAAAGACCTATTAGGCCCTTTAGATTGTAGGTTCTCAATGTGGGAGTTAGGGTTGCCTGGCTTTTCCCATCTTGCCAAATGGGAGAGGGATCGCAAGTAAATTTTGATATGGAAAGGTTGGGAGCTGATACTCTAGTTTATTTCCTGTATGTGCAGGGCTGTTTGAAACCACAGTAGAAAGATGAGTTTGGAGGGAAAGGGAGAAAATTCCAGCATCAGACACTGTTAATGCGCAAGACACTTCCACGCTGACAGATAAATGTACAGAGAATATTCCTATGCCCGTTTGTTCTCCTCTTATTTCTGACTTCAATTCTAATAGGAGTATCTCATGATGAGCCAGTTGCTTTTGGTTCTTTCGTGCAACTTTTTGAGGTCACTGAATTGTGCTGGATTAAAAATGCTGAAGCATGCTTTTTCTAACAGTCTGCAGAACGGTGTTAATCATGGGGCATCACTTTTCTTATATGGCTTATATTAACAATGTAAATAGTGTTAACCCCAAACCACCTCCATATTCATGCCAATAGGCAGGTATAATGAGCTTACTGTGTTTTGCCAACTCATGGTTAGAGTTGCACATCGCCACTCAGGACTTTCCAGTGTTATTCAAGAGGGCATTTCCTCTACTGGGAAATTGGTAGGGAGAGAGAGTAAATGAAAGTAATGTCTGTTTTCTTTTAAGCAGAGCTTCTCTGTAGCAAGGTTAAATACACTGAGATCTATGTCATGGTCAGGTGGAGTGACAGTCCTAAATTGCTTCACAGTCTGATTACTAAGAGTGTAAAGTTTTCTCTGATGGGTGGGGTGACAACTTGATTGTAATACTTCACACTTCTATGGCACGCTCCATCAGAAGATCTCAAAGCACTTTAAGGTGGGTAAGGTAGATACTGAAACTGAGGCACAGAACATAAGCAAATAGCCCAAAGTCTCACAGTGGCACAGCTGGGAATAGAGTTCAGACTTTCAGATTCCTGTGCTCTGCTTACAGTGGAAGGCAGTATTATCTAGTATCTCATCTCTCAAATCCTGGTGTGTTAAGAATGAAAGCTGACAACAATGAATTGCCCAAAAAAACCCTTTTTCTCTAGCAAATTTTTTTTACTTTAAGCGATTTGATTTCTCTCTTAATCACATAATCGTAATTCTATTTGCATGTTCCCTTTTCATTGTCAGACATTGCCAGTCTGTTACGTTGCAAATTATATACATGTAGGGGTCACTTGCCCACCACTGAAGTGCAGCCACTTGTGGAGCCTAACGCAACAAACTGTGATCCTCACCCTCGTGCGGTTGAGATTGGAAGCTCCAGTTGCTCATATAGGTAGAAAATAGGTAGGCCTTATCACCTACATGGCCAAATTCTGCCTTCATTTATCCCATTGGGATTGCACAGGTGTAATGGCAAAACTCAGTCTCTGTAGGCTGCTCTTAGGCAGTGTTGCCCAGTGGCTAGAACACTGGACTGGCGGTCAGGAGACTTAGGTTCTATTCCTGGCTCTGCTGAGTGACCCTGGGCTGCGTTCCCTTTTGTGCCTCGGTTTCCCCATCTAAAATGGGGATCATCCTCCTTACCTCCCTTTATAAAGTGCTTTGAGAGCTACTCTTGAAAAGCTGTACATAAGAGCTAGATATTATGTTGAGCCACCATGCTTGCTTGAACAACAGAATTTGGAAGTTCAAGATGCTGTCTACAGTTTCTCTCCTAAAGGTTTATGATGCCACAAGGAAACTGCAGGGCACTTCGTGGGAGTTTATTGGTGTCTCATTGCTGCTCCTGTGCCAGGTAAAGCCAAGTACCTGGGAAAGTGAAAGGAGGGGAGCCCATTTCAGCAACAGGATGTGAAGAAATGATAGAAGTGACGATGCCAAGGACTTCCCTGCCATCTATTTCCTGGAACTTCCCAGCTGCTATGAACTCTTGTTACATCTCTGATTGTAATTTTCATTGCTAAGGGTGTCATTTTTAATAGCTTAATTCAAAGCTTCCTCTCGTAAAGGTTGTTTCAGGTAGCCAGGTGTTCTGTGCTGACTTCAGTAGCAACAGCTGTGCTACAGCAAACTGCAAAAAATGAAAAGTGCTCTGTAGGAGCTGGGTGGTAAAATATTGCTTCCATCTGTAGGTCTCAGAGCTTTTTACAAAGGAGGAGGACTGTATCATTACAAAGAGGGGAAGTAACTTGCCCAAGGACACCCAGCAGACTGGTGGCAGAGCCAGGAGTAAAAATGGGTCTCTTGAGTCCTGGTTCAGTGCTCTATCCACTAGACGACTGTCTCTATTCTATCGTGCCGCATCTGACCCCACAGACCGGCCACACTTCTGTCCAGTGCTATATTTAGCATCAAATGGAAGGGTGATTCTGTGGTTAAGGCAATGTACTGGGACTTCGGAGACCGGAGTTTAATCCCCGACTCTGCCACAAACTCCCTGTTTGCCCTTGGACAAGTCACTTTGCTGGTGTCTGTTTCCCAGTCTATAAAGTGAGGATGATAATCCTTCTCTTGTGTACTTTGATCATAAACTCTTTAAGGTAGGGAGTGTTAGGTGCCATGTGTTTGTATGTGGCCTAACACAATGGATTTTGGGTCTCAACTGGGGCCTCTAGGTAATACTATATTACTAATAAAGCACTTGGAATCTGACTTTACAAGTGCAGTGGGTAAGCATTATCCCTTTCTCTCCGATAAAGAAACTGACACAGAGTTTGATTGGCTTGCCAAAGGCCTCAAAGCAAGTCTGTCAGAGCTAGCATTAGAAATCAGGAGTTTGTGTCTCAGTTCTGTGGTCTGATACAGTTTGGGAAAGTTCATGTTTTACAGGGTAAGCCAAAGCTTTCATCTTCTTCTGAGAACCCCTTCCTTTAGTACTGATTATGTTGGGTGATCTTCTTGTCCCCTGCAGTGACATTGAAACTAGTATATTAATACAGTTGCCTGTTAAAAGCAAGAGGTTTCCAAGTACATAGTCATTTTATACCAAGGAAGTCGCATGGCTGGAATTCATAGGTTACATTAAGAGCATTTGACACTTACGGCTACAGTCTGGCTGAGTGTATATTCCATTTTTTGGACTGTTGAAAAACACTTCTAGTGATTTTCTATTGATAATAGAAATGGTCAGTATCACAGCAATAATCTTAGAGACGCAAATGCTCCAGCAGATCACTTGTAATAATAAAATGTGTTGGTCGTGACGCTAAATTTCCATCTTCTAAAAAAATTCACTTAACATTACTTACAAGACTAATGAATTTCTGTTTATACTTACGTAATGCTAGTGGTGAAATATAGGGATTAACTTTGTGCAACTTCCAGGAAAACAGTTTATAAACTAGCTAACTAAATGTCTGGATGGTATTTTTTTTGGAGTTCTGTTATTAACTATTAAGAGGTCCTTAATCTGACATGCAATTTATTGAAGTAAATTAAGCTCTAATTCTTCTGTGTCAATATTCTCTTTAGGTAGAAAATTAAATACTTGTTTGGATTTTTATTGCTCTAAAAAGTGTCTGTCAATGTTCTTGGTGCCCTTGAAAATCTTTTTAAAAAATACACTAACAAATAAACAGAAGCATTACTTACCCCAGCTCCGGTCAAATAACCCAGGGACAAGATAGCGCAGAGCAACCACCCCACAGCATCCCTCCACCACTGCTACCTAGTCCTGGCCAGCACCTCTCTCCTCCATCTGCTAAAGTAAATCTGATTTCCCACAGATCTCACAATGACTTTAGAGTTTCTCAAACTTTTTGTCGTGTGAACCTCGCCTCTTCCCCCTGGTGCCTGAACAGTATTCCAGTGGCAGGTATAATAATTGTTTTCATGAACATGTTTTAGGAGGATAATGTATCTTTAACTCTTTTAATGCAGTTTTGCAACTGGAAATGAGGAGGCAACTTGTGACCCATCTGCTCTCTGTAGACCATGTGCAAAGTGCTCTGCAGACCACACTAGGGAATCCACTGCTCAAAAGCCACTACTGTAATGTATCCCCTGCTGCGTGAAATGCAGCTGCTTAAACTGCTGTGCTGCTTTAATCAGCACCTGGCAATGGCGTACATTAATTGAGGACCACAGTGAAGAAATTGGTGTATCACGGGGGGTTCTCAAACCTTCTAGTATCCTGATCCTCCTGTCTGCTACCCTTCCCAATCCTGATTCTGTACCTTCCTGTCATTGAGGAGCATTTGCAACACAGCTTCAGAACCACTGCTCTATTCCTAGATTCAGTTAAAAGGGCAGCAATGGAAGCTCTGAGCTAGGGAGTAAGAATCTTGTGAAGGGGCTAGTAAGTAGATCTTCAATACTGAACTATCCTCGAAGTAAAACTTGGGGGTTAAACTGGTGTACGCAGCATTGAATCACTTTTTTGGCTTTAATAGAATAGTCACTATGGCTCTGCTTTGCAGCTTTTCATAAGTATCAGAAAGGGTTAAATAAAATATACATTGCAGATGAAAGCTTCCTCCTTTGTTTGAAGGCCGGGGTCATGAAGCAGGAACTGAACTAATGCCATGCTTAGGGCAGGATTAATCCAGAATGTGGTAGGAAGTCTAGTAGCCAACTCTCTCTTGTAATAGTCACATGCTGACTAACAGCACTAGGGAGGTCATGTCTGGCTCAAAGGAGAACTTCAGAATTCTTTCTTAAATGGTTAAAGATCTTATATGATTAGCAATGTCTAGAATTTCTTGGGGGAGAGGGGGATTAAGATAAAATTTGAATTTTTCTTCTTTCACTTGCCTGCCCAGACCAAACAAATATTTGTGGATACCACTGTATAGTGTTGCCTAAGAGACTTATCCGACTGCCATTGATTTCAGTGGACTTCGGATCAGGCATTAAATGCGCCCATCAAACTGATATATAATGCGTCCTTATAACAGGTTGAATGTATCCTGGTACATGAAGGGTGTTAGATAATCCAGCCAGTCATGTACATTGTTCATGTCCTTTCTGCAAGGAGTTGAATGGCTTGTTTTCTGCGTTGCATCCTTAGGTAAACTGAAACCAGCTTAACTGGATAACCTTAATTGTTCTATGGGTTTTTGCTGTTTATGCAATGAGAATTATTTTAAGTGGCCAGGGGTAAAACTCTTTCTTGATCACTTAAGTAATAAGGATGTGAGGTTTTTAAAGAATCTTTTGCTGACTTCACACAGGCATCTGAAAAGGTGGACCAGCCAACCTCAGTACCGAGTTGCAGTGTCTGAGGCTGTGTCTATGCTATGAGGCTGTGTCTATGCTACAGACTTCTGCAGGCATAGCTGCTGTGTTGGCAGGGGTATGAAGAGCTGTGGTCCCTGACCGACACAGCTGTGCTTGGAAAAGCCCCTGGTGTTAGATACAGTTCTACTGGTATAGCTTGTTTGACTGGGGGAAGTGTGTGCATGCATAGGGTGCGTGTGTGTGGGTGGGGGGGGGGGGAGTGTGTGTGGAGGGTGTGTGAGACATGAGCTATACTCGTGAAAGTGTAGCTTTGCTGGTATAGCAAACTGTTATGCCTAGTTCCTGGTGTAGACGTGGCCTTAGATGCAAATTGCAGCTTATGGTAGTTTCCACATATCTGACTTGAGAGGTTCTGAATGCATAAGATAACTGCTGCACAATTCTTGTCTCTTGAGGTACGGCTAGTTTAGCTACTGCACACTTCAGATGGATCAGATCACTGCAATACAAGGAATTAATATTGTAAGAAATCATGACAGGTGCAAAAATACAAAAAGGAACATTGAAACATCTTGGCTAGGGAAACATACACCTGTTAGTCTCCTCCCCCACCTCCCCACTCCCCGTGTCCTAACCTCATGACTGAGATATACATTAGTAGGCAACTATATAGCCACTACTGCAGCTTTCTAAATGTAGATGTTCAGGTGTATCTTAGCGCTTACAGGAAGGTTCGGTGCAGAAGAATGTACAGCAAACTGTTTTCCACACAACTCTGCGGAGTTGGTGTCAAAACAATAATTACTTACCCCGTGCTGCAAGTGTGAAATCCAGTATGGCCCCTGCTCTCTGAAGAATTTCAGGTCTAAAAGTCTTGATTGTAGACATCTGGTTCTTGGGGGTGAGAAGGGGACAGGAGGAGAGGGGGGGAAAAGGGTTATAGTTACCAGGGCACAAGGTTGCTTTGTCAGTTCAGTACATGTCTTGCTCTCTTGAAACCTGGGCTCACATCCCTGGCTTTGTTATAAGCTTCCTCTGTGACCTTTGGCAAGTCACTTAGATTACATGGACACAGCAAAAGGAGGGGGAAAAAAACCCATGCAGCAGTGGGTTTCAGAGCTTGGGCCAACTAATTTGGGCTTGTAACTGCAGAGCTAAAGATAGCGGTGCAGACTTTTTCCGCTTGGGCTGGAGCCTGGGTCGAAAAAAGACTCTTCCCACGCCAGCTTTTAGAACTCTAGTTCTAGCCCGAGCGGGAGCATCTACACGCCTATTTTTTATGCCCTGCAGCATGAGCCTTTGTCTCTTGACCCAGGCTTTGAGACTCTCAGCTGCACAGCTGTTTTTGCTGTGTAGACGTACCCTAAGTCACTTGCGTGCAGTCACAGAAGAAGCCCTGCAGTGTGAGCCTGAATCAGTTGACTTAAGCTCTTAGACTTACTGCTGTGGGTCTCTTTTTGCTAATGTAGACACCCCCTTAATCTCATTGTACTTCAGTTTACACATCTGTAAAATGGGGATGCTACTGCTTTTCTCCCGTTCCTTGTCTCATCTCTTCAGATTATAAGGAAACTCCTGCACAGAGAAGCTTACTGTATGTACACACCTAGCACAGTTGGTTCCTGAACTTGATTGGGGACTTCAGCTGTTACCGTAAATCAAATAATAAACTGAGAGTGAATTAACGTGCCAGTCCTCTTTGCTCCAAAACAGTGAAGGACACTTTCTGTGGGGTGGGGAAACTTAACTCCTTTCAAATAAAAGAAGACTTATCAGGTATGTGCCTGCACGTAGACTTCCAAGTTTGTGACACTTAAAGAGAAAATAACTGTTTAGGTTCACTGCAGTTAAGACTTCATTAATAACAATATCTAGCTCTTGCATAGCTCTTTGTAAGGTGCTTTGAGATCTTATGAAGAGCTATGTAAGGAGATCAGTATCATTCTCCTCATATTGCAAATGGGGAAACTGAGGCACAGCAGCAAGTGACTTGCCCATGGTCACCCAATAGGTTAGTAGCAGAGCTGAGAATAGAACCCAGGTCTCCAGAGTCCTAGTCCAGTGCACTATCCGTCATATGTATCTTATTCCTGGCTGCTCTTAGCATAAACCAATCAGAAGGCGGTAAGGTGATTGGCCTCTCACAGGGTCAAGCTCTGTTTTAACAATACACTTTTTTTGCATTGTTTGACACTTGCTGCTTTGGACAGGATAGGACACAGAGCATCACCGATAAAATTGTTTCTTTCATCATTAAACATTAATTCCTTTTCAAATTCTGGATTGGATGAAGAATGTGTTCTAGCCTGTGCAAAAAGGGCGGACAGGAGCTGCATGCTTGTGAACCTGTGTGACTACAGAGGGTGTGGCACAGAAGTATTTCAAAATTCTTTTAGTACTTTGCGTGCAGTCACATGTTTTCATTAGTGCCGATGATTGGTTGCCTTTGAAAACTGAGCTGTCTTTTCACGCTTTTGTTTGGCATGTGGGTTTAACTAATCAGGCTTCCCTGGTTTTCAGCCAAGATGTACTGTTTGAGTGGTCTAAAATTATAAAACAAATCTGACCCAGTGAATATCAAAACAATTGAGCCTGGATGTCAGTAGTAGCTGTGGTTTAAGGCCCAGATCCAGCAAAGTTTGTGTGCATACTTCACTTTAAATATCTGATTACTCCCATTGACCTCATTGAGGGCGTGTCTAAATGGGGAAATTGACCAGAAGAGTTGTTGTGGAATAAACTATTGCAGAATAAATATTCCAAAATAGCTCCCCTAAATGAACTTTTATTCTGGAATAATTGACTCACTCACAAAGCAGAATAGTTGTTCTGGAATAAAAACACTTTTTGGTTCTGGAATAGTGTCTACATGGGGAAACTAGGAATAGTTTATTTTGCATTAAGTGTTCTGGTTGGTTTTCCCAAGTAGGCAACCATCAGGACTGCATGTGAGAAAGGTTTGCACTAGAAAAGGTTTGCTGGTGTTGCTGTTCCGGCAAAACCTATGTGTAGACGCAGTTTATATGCTATACCTGCAAAATAACTCTTGCTGGCATCAGTTCCTGGAACAAAATAAGCTGGAAAAGTGCTTTTTCCCCCCCTGGTATAAGTGGCTGCACTAGGGCTTTGTTGCTATAAAAGCGTCACCAAAAATCACACTCCTAACAGACATTACTGCTGAAATTTAAGCCTAGACCTAGCCTGAGTCAAGCTAAGCACATGTGTTTGCAGGATCTGGGGCCTCAATTTATATGCATTGACAATCATAGCAATTAAAACTCTGAGATGGGGCAGGATAAAGCCATTGGAGGTTTTGAATAAATTACTGTGCCTGTTAAGTCCCTAGTTGTTAAAACTAATTTTTTTAAAGAGAGTCTCATCAACTTGGCTTCTGACTTTCCTTTTGAACTTGCTTGGATGCTGAAGAAATGACAGGAACAGAGTGAAAATGTGTCATCATATTACATGGATAGTGGCAGTAATATGCTAGCCCAATGGAGCAATGTTTGGGTTGCATAACCTTCAGGGAAAGTTTTGTTTGTTTGTTTGTTTTTGTTTTTGTTTTTTTAAATAGTCATTTGATTATTTTTAAAGAATGTCTATAAATACAAGATTAGATTCTGTGAATTTTCTCTT